TCTGTTTGTAGAAAAAGTTTGTTCCCATTTTCCACTTCCATGATTCCAGGGAGTATAGTTGGTTTGCGTGTCACCCTGCGTCGCTCTGCTCCGCGGAAAAACCATGAAAAACCATTTTTTTTGGGGGGCCACCAAGGTCAACAAGCTCAACTGCCAGGAGTCTCTCCTCAGTGGCTGGGATGGATTTCGGCGACCGACCCGTGCGGTTTTTGGGCGTCTGAAGGACGGAACGTCCGCGCCCCGCCCCCGAGCAGAAGAGTCACCCAGCTCGGGAGTGGCCTACACCTTGGATCCCCTTTGAACATCATGTTGATTCCAAGCAATGGTCGCTTGATCAATGCGCATGGGACCCAACGGGCGAAGCCAGGTGAACCGGCCCCCTTGTAGAAAGACGTCAAAGAGCCACGCCCCAAATGAACTGCTTTGGCATTCGGCTTGTGCTTCGACCCACACCGTTTCCATGTCCACTCCCCTCCGACTGAAAGAGATGCAGATCTTCTTGTGACATGGGTGAGTCAAAACCTGGAACCCCTTGGGCCCCTTGGGTCGGTTGACCACAAGGTCAGGGAGTCTCTTCTGTTCATCGGTAGAGTCAACCCACACCGGAAGCGGACCGGCTCTTCGGGCTGAGAGCGCTGGGCGGCTTTTCAGGGCGACTGGGCGAGGGCGGGTTCTGGGCGCCAGGTGATCAGGGCGACTTGGAGGACATGGACTGCCACTACGCCTTGGTCCACACCTTCCATGCCTCGTGCCCCGCGCCTCGCCCAGGAACGGACGAAGCGAGGGACGAGACGCGAGCGCAGGGGTCGCGAGGGGGGGCAGCGCCTTTCCGGAAGGTAGGTTGGAGGAACATGTTCCACTTTTAAGATCTTTTTAAGTCTATATTTGCTTTTAAAGAAACACGACATCGTTTTTTCTCCCCCGTCAAACACCGACGACATGTCGCAAAGGGTGATTTTCGTTCAAAATCAACGACTAGTTACACAAGTCCATTTATATAGACATAAACAAACTTTAAACATAGACCTTTAAACAAGTCGTTGCTGGTTGCATCATATTTAGTATGTCGCCTTCGTATGGAATGCGGCCTGTGCCATCGAGAACATCTCACTCCTGCCACGTGGCGAAGAGACGCGTGTGCGTGAGATCTGAACTGGGACTACCCGTTTTCGCCGTTTTCGATGGTCCTGGTACAGATGAAATATGGTGCCCTATGTGCCCTTGTTCTGTCCGAACTGACCTGTCTGCCCAGTCAGTTTAGAGCTACCAAGAGGCGAACAAGGGCTGGTTTTCCCCTGCGAAAACCTTTCTGGGGACCCCCGACCGTGAGACCAACAGATGTGCGTAGCGACACGCAGAAGGTCGACTACTTCAGAATCGACGACCAGTCGGTTTCGAGACGAAAGTGACGTGTTCCAAGAGATTCATTTGAATCTCTGGCAGACCCCCTATGACTTGCAGCTTTGAGTCTGTTTGAGTCCTGTTTCTCCTTCACCAGTACGGAGCTTAATGGAAGCGCTTGCAGTCCAAACGCACGTGCTTCTTCCGAGCCGCTGTTGGCTGCGCTGAACGGAACGGCTTCCCGAGACGACGGATCGTCCCGAGTTCTCCCGAGGCGTCTGAGAGCCATCACTCCACGGGTGGATGGAACGGCTACAACATGAAGTTTTCTCAGGCGCCTGACGACCCACCAGTCGGTGGCGACGACGAGGGTCTCGCTGGTCACCGTCTGCGTCTTGCGAGTTGGGTCACATCACGGTGAGGTCCGAGATGGTGGTTCTTGCTCGATGTTTTTTTTTGCCGATGCACGGGGCTGTTCTAGATCGATCGATCCGGTGTGTTGCACTATGTTGCACCTGTAAGAGTCGGTGAAGAACATGATCTGTCGTCTTCTTTGAGAATCATCCACTGGGTTTTCTGGGGGGAATAGCATGCCAAATGCCAAAACCTCAGTGGAGAGATCTGAAGCCCCTGAAGCCGGTGGAGTGGCCGTGGAGAGGAGATGCCCATCCACAGAGACTTCAGATACCCGATGCCTTCAAACGTCGAAAGGAAAGTTGGCCTCTGGCGGTGGTGGTGGTCGTCGTCGCAATCGTCCTCCTCCTGCTCCTCGTCCTCCTCCTCGTCCTCGTCGGCGTCGGCGTCGGCATCGGCGTCGTCGTATTCGTCTGTAAGATGCTAAAATCTAGTAAAACAACATAGTTGTTCAGTAAGTCCTATTAAATCAACACTTGTTTGAATCCTGCTATATATATTAGGCAATCTGATCCTGGCTTTTTGGGGCATATCCAACAAATGTGTTTTCGTTGGCCTCTCGGGGCTGTTCTAGCCGATCCTGCGAACGCTCCTTCATTCGCCGGGCGACCCGTCGTCCAAGTTCCGGCCGACCCGTCGCTGGGTCGGAGGTTCTGGCCAACCTTTGCAACAACCAGGTGCGCGCGGGGTCACACCGGGAGCGAGCGGCGACCCATCTCGGCCATGGCGATTCACATGGCGGCGGGCGGCGGTTACGTTTTTTTGTTCCTTTTTGTTTTCATGTGTATTTTTTTCTCCACAGGATGAAGGGCACTTTTGGCAGCCTGTAGTAAATCCATGAATTGGTTGGTGGTTAAGCCCACTGACTGGTAGTGTTTAGAGTGAGTTCAATCCATTTGGAAACATGTGTCACTCATGATTCATGATGTGGGATTTAGTTGGTTTTTCTTTTGTGTTCAGTGCCAGTCTTGGTCAAACTTGATTGGACAGCCTTGGTTAGATGTCAAGTTATGTTACTTGTGAATTTAAACAGATATCCGAGCATCACGTGGGCTTGGTTTGTCCTCCACCACATTTTCGACACTTGATCAATTTCCGAGAACAAAACATCGTAGGATGTTAAAGGGTCGATGCTTCAAAGAAGTATCAGACGTGGTACCAATAATACCTCTCAGTCAGACACGTCTCAAATCCAATTCTAAGGGTATTTCGGCGACTTGTTGTTTGTCATGCCATCTCCTTTTGCGATATGCCCTGACTTGCTAACATGGACGTAGATCAAAATGGTCCCTTGGACAACTACTTTCCCTCTGCGGTGGAAGACGACTTTCCTCTGTCGAGAGGTGGTACTCTCACTGGGATTCCAAGAATATGTTTTAATATGTTTCAATATCAATGTATTTCCCCAAGAACTCTTGTTCTACTAAGGCGTTCAATCTACCGGGTCACCCGGGTCAACCGGCTTTCGAAGGCTTTTGAAGGCTCCGACGGGACGAACCTCCGACGAGCTATGCAGGCCATGCTCGGCAAGAAGACGGAAGAACTCGAGAGCCTGGTGCGTGACAGCTGCGGCGCCTCTGCGCTGGTGGTGTAAGGTCCGGTCTGGAGTTGAGTCGCTGCCATTCATTGGCACGGAATACCTTAATGTATATGGGTCCTATAATTAATATTATTATGTATAATAGATTTGATGAAATGAATGTGTTGAAATGTTTTGAACCATAGCCAGATGGGTTGAGGCTACTCTCTCGGCTATGATCACACGATGCAACCCAAGGATCTGATCTACCATCCACATCCAGCTCGACCGAAAACGCCTCCTTCTTAGCGAGGTCTCGATGGCTCGTGCCTTGCGCGTGCCAGGTGGCCAACCTGCCTACCGAAAGGGCCCGAAGAGGCCGGGGGGCCGGGGCACGGTTCGCATTCCGCTGACCGGGTTCAGCGTTCGACCGCGGAAGCCGGTTCGGTCGAGCGAAAAAGGATTTGGTGAACCAGACCCGACCAGGTCGTCCTTCGTCCTCCGGTTCCTCACCTGACCAGGGTCGTCTTCACCGGGTCCCTCGGGCGCGTGGTCTCCCTTTTGTTCCAAGCGAGTCGCGCATCGGTGGCTTTCGGAGTTGGACAGCCGCTGGTAGTCCAGTCGACCATTCGAAACATGGTCTGACTATGTCTGACTATATAATTGCTATATTATACTATATACATCTATATACACTATAGTATTACTATAATTTACTATATATTATCACTATCTATTATGACCATGTCTGAGTATATATATAGTATTGATGCCAAACAGAGTCGAAGACTTCCTGGACGGCCAGGCTTCCTTTGGATGCTGATGCCACACTTCCAGCTCCACCAGCTTCAGCACTTGAATGACCCGGTTGGACGCTGGATGCAATCCGATGACATTTCGTCGGTGTCAGCGAGTCCTTAGGAGGCTCATTAGTTGTGCCACTGTGCTGGTTTGTCCGTGATCCTGAGAAAGGTTTACCGTTTTGAGAAGGGAGTCCTCCAATTTGTGTAAAGCTTAGCAGTCAGATGCCGCCGTTGGACACTTGGCGGACTGACAAACCTGCATGTCAGCGGCCTCGCGTTGGTCTGCCGTGCATTTGGCACGTGACCTGCGTAAGCGAGATTTGAAAACGACATGCGTTTGGCCCGTTTGGCCGACAGCGGATTTGGCAGCTTCTAAGATGAACAGGACGGTCGAACAGTTCTTGATGTGAAGGTTACCTTTTGGGCAACAAGCACAAAAGTAGTCGTGTGCCCCTGTTTCTACGGGCAAACGGCTTGGAAACAGTGTTGCCACCGTGACTTGGCATTGAAGCAGTGGCCCTCGGGATGACTAGGTGACTAAGGGATGAATTTGTCAGATCCGCTCTGCAGATGGATGGTGTGGATGTTCTTCTGGGTGCCAAGGATCCCCTCTCTATCCCTCTCCATTGGCTTTAAACGAAAAATCCTTATCTTGACAAGACAGAGACCCTTCTGGAAGCCCCTTCTGGCTAGCTCGATGCATCCACTCCCTGGAACTGCATGGCAATGGATGGCATGGCCCGGAAAGGAAGACCATGAATTCCTCATACCAAACAGGGGGTGAACTCCACGGAACCATGTGAATTCCATGGAGAACTCTTTGGATTTTTCCCTTGACACCTGTGTGTGGACACGCCCTTGGTCCGAACAGAACAGCGCAGAACAGCTCTGCGGCGGGGAACACCGAAAAGACCCCCCGGCAGGTGTGGAGACCTACATGGAGCGGGTGATCTCAGAGCTGTTGCCCTGGGCGGAGCAACTCTTCGGTGTTGCGCCCGAAGCCTCCCAGAGGTGGGGGAGATCGGGCAGAGATCGGAACGCGGGTGGACGGACGGGGCGGTGGAAACCGATGGTGTTCAACCCTGGGTTGAAAAACGACGGTGTAGGTGTTGGGGGGGTGTTTTCACCATGGTTTTCCAGCAAAGTGACGAGAGGACCACCATTTCGTAGCCGGGCCAGGCGGCTCGCCAGGTGGTTTGGATGGCGAGGGTTGGTGGATCGCTTGTGGACCTGAATGGCTTGGGAATGGCTTGGGTCTGGGGCCTGAAACAGACCAAGTGGATGGCTTTCCTCTCTGGAAGACCCTGTGTAGAGCGGCTTGTATATACTTCATTTGGTTCGGTTCTCCCAAAACTGAGACATTGTGAGACACGACACGATCCACCCTGCTCACACATGTTGCAGTGCCAGAACATGGTTCAGAACACCTGGAAGAACACCTGCGATGTGATGATTTTGGGACCTTTTGGGAACCCTGCGGACCTCCAAGAAAGTCGCAGTCTTTCCTGGAGTCCAGGAAGTCCAGGGTCCTTGGTTTGAATCTGTTTGAATGTAAGGAAACGCCACAAAGAAGAGCGTCGGACGGACGTGTTGCTCGTCTCGGGGAGACGCGTCGACACACCCGCGGCCGCGGCTCCGACCCCCCCACGCGTCGACCCTTTAACCTACCTGCGAGTCACCGGCGAGTAGGTGTTCGGAAGCAGCTCTACTCGTACTATGAAAGAGCTGCCCCCCCCAAAGTTCATGGCAGGATGAACCGTGCCCTGCTGAGCCCTATATTTCGACATACATTCTGATCCCAGATACTTTGGTGGCTCCTCCTTTGGCGGCATTTGTGCCTTGTACATGGCCATGCGATACCCAGGTGAGGCCATGTGGACTGGATGGAGGGGGGTGAGAACTGGAGAAGCAACGAAGCTGGAACCCTTTTGACCACTATTATTTACTTGAGATATTTACTGCATTAGGAGTCTAAAGAGTTCTAAAAGAGACTATTTGGCACCAGCGAAGTGAAGGAACTTCCGAACTAAAGTCTAAAGACCATTTTGTAGATGGTCTTGGACTCCCAGGCTATACACACACATACAGTCACGAGTCGCATACATAAAGGGTAAAGGTCATGTGGGTTCGTAAATCTTTCAACGTGTCAAGATTTTGTAGAGGCTGGATGTTCGACTTGGGCGAAGCATCCCCTGAAGCATTTGCTGGACACACCCCTGTGAACATGCTACTATTTGAGTCTCAAGTGAAGCACAGCATACCCCTGAAGATCTCTGAAGCATACCTCTGAAGCGGTCCCCAACTAGTCAATCATCCCGGTCCGGGAACGTCCAACGAATACCCACCCATGTCCTGTATAGGCCGATGGTCGACCGTGTTGAACCGAACTCAGGGGGTCCGGGTACCCCGCCACGCCTGGGAAGTGGGAGACCCCGGCACGTTTTCATACACACCTAGGCACTCAGCTCACCCTGCACCCTAGCAGGCCTGTTCGACTCCTTTTGGGCACCACTCAAGGTCGAAAAAAAACGCCCTTTGACTCCATGGGACTGCCATGTCGGACTGCCGATCAAGCCAGACACCCCCCTGCCACCACCCCTGGCCGTTTCTCCGCAGTCCGACATGGCAGTCCCAGACGTGTCGCGTCTAAGGAAGGACCTTCCGAGTCACTCGGATCACCCTTGGTCCGAGCGGTTTCAAACACCTCGCTTCCCACGTCGGCCACCGCCATGTCCTGCACCTCCAGACCATTGGGCCGGCGTTTTGGTGGAGTCGCCCTCCTTCTGGGCGGGCAATGGCCGCTACATGGCCGACGTGGCTCAGAACGAGAAGGGTTGGCCCGGTGCCCCGGTGACAGTCGCTGCCCTGGTCCATCCTGGTCCCGCAAGACGGTGACGTTTTCGTTCCACTGCAGATCTCTTTGGTGAGTCTTTTGAAGGGTGAAGTCACGTCAATGACGGCCCCTGCACTGGACCCCTCACTCACCTCCCAAGCGTCTAAAACTGTCAGCGTTCTGTGGCATCAGCGGATGTGGCTCTGCATCAGGGCCGGGGGTTTCAGCTCTGCACCGTGTACACCTATGTACTGTACAGAAAAATGTTCCCAACACATATGTTTTTCACTCATCCACTCGCGCTTCAGCACCGGCTCTTGGGAGGCTTCTTAGCTATTTTTCCAGCTCCTATACCTCTTGCCGTTCCGAGGCCCAAGCGGATGTACCTGGCGATGGGGGAGTTTGAATACGCCGGCTTCCGCGGCACCGAGAGGCGTCGTCTTCGCGAACACGGGTCGAGCAGAAGGGTCGAGTCTGAGAATTGGACCAGGAAGCTGAAAGATGCATGCTTTCGTGCACGTTGGTTTAAACCTCCCCCCCATTTGGATTGCAAAACCTCTTTTACCTCTCGCACTCAGGTGTGAGACTGTGCCGCTAGCATTCCACTAAACGGCATGTTGAACCCTATGAGGATAGCACAGACAGAGCGACCACCCGAGGAGGGTTCCCACCCGAGGAGGGCTCCCACCCGTGGCGTGAGCCGCCTTCTATCGGTGCTCAAGTCCAAGCAACAACCTCGCACCATGCCGGGCGATTTAGCCCGAGAATTACAGGCAGGAGTTGCCTGAAACACAGTATATTGCCAGCATTGCGTAGATGCTCAGTGGAAAGCAACATAGCAAAATGGGGGGTTGAAATAGGTTGAAATAACAGGGCAGTGGGTCCAAGCCCGGAAAGCCCGTTTCCCCTGGTAGGTTGACCTGGCTGGTCTATTCTGTTCATTTTGTTAGGAATCGGGCGGGAGCCAGGGCAGCGATGAGCGCGACCCGAAGGAGGGCGTCCACGTCCTTTTTCTCGTTCGTTTTCGGTTCAGCCAGGCCGGCTTGGTAGCGTGAAATCAAATGGTTGGTCCAGATCGGGATCGAGTCGCGACTCGATCAACGGCAGTCCCAGGAGGTTTTGGAAAGAGATGAGTACGACGAAAAGGTCCCGACATTGTGGGATCTCTTGGCCTCCGAGAAAAGCACCGGGTCCATCCACCGAACCTGTTTCGGCTCAATTCCTTCAAGGCCGGGCAGTTTGCAATGCGACGCCTTCTTGCGGGAGGCGTTGGTCGAGTGCGCAGGCCCTTTTCTTGGTGGCGGCCCAGGTTTTTCAGGAGGTGGGTAGTCGATAGGATAGAGGGAAGTGGAGAACATGTAGAACTTCAACTATCATGGACCATGACCACTGGAAAAGCGGATGTTCCAAGGGCCGCACACTTCCATGTCTGTTGGAGAGAGTAGCCCCCTAATTTCGGGCAGGAGTCGACATGAGAGTTCTGCTGGCAGAGGTACCTCGGACCCTTCGATGCCTGAAACTTGCTGGTCCGACCGAGGGAAAAGGAACTTCACCGCCTGCTGTTGGGGTCTTCGGATTTCAGGGCCCCCCCCGTTCCGGGCCATGACCTATGGAAATCACCATGATTTTCAGGGACACTCCACATCCCGTTCTCCGAGCGTCCGACGGCTTCCTTGCCATTCGCCGTTTTGCGGCGCCAGGTCACTTGAGGAAGGCTACAGCGCTCCTCTCCTACCTTGAGCCTGGCGGGCGGCACAACGAGCGAGACTGGGGCCGGCGGCTGCCGATGGCGCTGCGCCACGACGGGAACGCGGTGTTCGGAGCTTGCCCCAAATGGACAAACTCAAGCAGATTTTACAATGATCCCCCTATATACAATGATAGTAATTGAGCCATCCCTTCATGTTTGCACAGTGTGTAGACTTCCAAATTGAATCCATTGGGAACTAGGGGACCTGATCCTGTGCTGTGCTAATGGTAAAAGGGGAGCTATCGTTTACTAGGTGTCCACAACGTGTATCTGGGTTTGGGAAGACACTACTGTACCTAGGCAACAGAGGATGCCCCAAACCAAATAGACAGTAACAGTATCAACAGGAACAAGAAACAGTTTCTTTCTTTGTGTTGAGGGCTTCATACGTGCACGCCCCCGGTCACGATCGGGACTGAGGAAGCTGGATCCCCTGAATGGCCCACGGCACGATGATTCCAGGTATGTAGAGTTTGAGTTTGCAGAGGTGTATAGACGGACGGCATCGAGGCGTTTTCCTCTCGCGGGTTCAATTTTCCAAGTTTCAGGCTTACCCCCTGAACCTGAGGTGATATTGGTGATATAACAATAAATCTTTGTTTGGCTGCTGAACCCAACATGCAAGCATTCCAACTTGGCGAGGACCTCCCGCTTCACATTCACGACCGGGGTTCATTCAGGGATGTAGGGGTCAAGCGGGGGTGAAACACCTAGGCGTGAGATTCTTTGTGAACCAGAGGGCTTAGAGAGTGCGATGACCCCTCATGGTGTCCTTCCCAAACAAAGCCTTTGAGGCGTTGGTTACTCTCGGGCGAAGAAGGGCGAGGCGAAGCCTTCTGGACCAGGCCAGGTGCTGCGTCCTGAAGGGACGGCGCGTGGGGACGTCCGCTTCAGAACTGCGCCCGTGGAGTCTGGTGGCCACGTTGGTGGCTCTTCCTCCGTGGCCCACCCGGTGCAGGCCCTCGCCACTGCTGCCGGGCAGTTGTTTTGAGCTGCTGGCGCGCAAGGACCAGGTGAGGCTGCCAGACTCTGGGCGCTTCCAGGCGTGGGAATCTCGGCCACAGCTCGGTTTAGTGGGACACTCAATGAAATGGTATGGGGGCCTGCTTGTTCTTTTGGTATAGTGAATTATGTTCTGAGTTTCACTAATTCACTAATTCAGCAGGAAAAGAGTTCGGCCCCGTGATGCGATCTACCGTCCGGTAGGTGCACCTGGGCTTCGACCAGTGGTCCTCGGGCGTGCGACGCTGCGACCTGCTGCCGAGTGGTTTGGGGCCCACGGAGGGCTCCGAGGCCGTGCTGGCCGCCTTGGCGACTTGGATTGCTGGTGATTTGGTGGGTGGATGGGGCTGGAAAGTGCGGGGGGTTGTACAGGCCGGTGATGATGATGATGATGATGATAAGGGCCACTAGCTTCAAGCCCCATTCCATCAATTGGAACGGGCTGGTGCGGGACCCCGTGCCTCATGGTCCACGTGGACTTTTTGACCACCTTGGTCCACGAGGACCTCCTGTACCGGGACTTCATCAGCCATCCTGGTGGAAATCCTCCTGGACCTCTCTTCCAGGCGGTCCCTGAGGGCGGCACGGTCATTTTGATTGTGGTTCTCTTTCTTCCGGTCTTTTACCTGATTCTCCTTTTGAGCTTTGAGACCTACAAGAACACTTCTACCGTGAGAAGACAACGATTCCGGTCAAGGAGAACCACCTCCCAGGTCCTTGCACTTGCTCCTAGAGCTAGCTGGGGTCCCAAGTCCCCAGCCAGGGCTGGCACCTTCATCCTCCTCCTCTGCGGCCTTCTTGGGGTCTATCACGAGGACTTCATGACCACGCTCAATGCCAATGCCATGCCCTGGTGGCCCGAGGGTTCCGGACCAGCCACACGGTCCGGTGAAGCCAACACGAACTTTGCCAGTCAGTTTCCCAACAAGGCAAAGCCAAGTGGCCTTGGATCCACACACCAACGTCTGGACAATAGCCAGCACTTTCCCAAGAAGAAATCCTACATTCGTGCACTCAAGCGGGCCCAACTTCATGGGCGCACATGGTACAAAGGGAAGCTCTATACGGCTCAGATGCTTGGAGTCACACCACTTCCCTGGCAGGTCTCTGACACTCCAATGACTTCCTTGGGGCAACCCAACTCATCACCACCTGCCAAACTACGGAAGAACAGGCTTCAAGGACTTAGCTGGAACATCGGCTCCCTGGGCACCTTCAAATTTGACATCCTCCGGCAATGGATGCATCAACAGCAACTTGACCTGATTCAACTTCAAGACACCCGATGGGGATTCACAGGTGATTGGACTGATAACACCTTTGCATATATCCACAGTGGATCTCATGATCGAGCAGGAGGGCTTCTTACCATCATCCGGAAGGCCTTCTGCCATCCAGATCGGCTCTCCTGGCGAGAGGTCTCTCCTGGGCGGCTTCTGCATGCCCGGCTTTACCTCGACTCCACGGGCCTTGACCTGGTCAACTTCTACCAGCATCCATGGACTGGATCTGACCAGCAATGCAGGGACAAACGCTCTGGACTTCTGGACACGTTGGATGGCCTTTTGGCAGGTCTCCCCCAAAGGAATGTGGTCATTTTAGCCGGTGACTTTAATAGCAGTTTGCCTCGGACACCGCACTGTGTCGGACTTCACGACTTTCAAGGCCGACGAGGGCGACTTTCTGGCACTCAACATCAGGATGCACAGCTCTTGGCTGACATTCTACCCAGAAGAGGGCTCCTGGCCATCAACACTTGGGACACCTCGCTTGGTCCCACCTACCAGGGAGGCCAGGGGCATCTATCTCGGATTGACTATGTCATGGTCCGGCACAAAACCAGTGATTCCATCACGAAGAAACCTATCTACCTGGAACACCTTCCAGGCAAGTTTGGCCACACCAAGGATCATGTGCCGATTCTGTTCAATCTTCCCTACAAATGGAGGGGGTGGAAGCAACCTCCCTTGGGTCTGAACCGGATCCAACAAGATCTTCTTCAACGGCACTGGCACCTTCAGAGTACGGATTGGCACCACTGGCGTCAGGACCTCGGCACCCGAATCGACAATCTTCGGGATCAAACACCAAATCTGGAGGCTCTCAACCAGGTTTTGATGGATGCGTGTCTCTCTTTCCAGCCTTCTGGGAAGTCCGACAAACCTTCAACAACCAACTATTGGTCCTGGGCCTCCACACTCTCCCGGCTCCACCTTCCTGATATCGCTCAGCGGGCTCACCACTCATCCAAGCTGGAGCAAATCTTTGGCTCTTGGCTTCGAGTGACTCGGATTCAAAAGTGGCGGAGGGCGGCCACCAAATCGGCCAGAGAAGCGAAAAAACAGAAACTCCAGGACACCATTGACACCGCCAGGCATCACTGGTCCACCAACGACACCCGACGCTACTTCAAGGTGGTCAACTCTTTGACGCCCAAACACCGACCCCCACGACCTCAACTTCGGAAGAATGAGGGCATGCTCATGTCCCCTGAAGATGAACTGAGGTGGATTCTTGACTATATGGAAGGGGTTTATGAGGGGACTGACCTGCAAGGAGTCAACTTTCAACTTCATGCACTGCCATTTGGACCAGGTGACATCACACACTCACTGCGCTCCTTGTATGGACACACCAGTGTCCCTGCGCATGTGGCGCCCAGCTTCATTTGGAAATCCATGGCTGAGGAACTGGGGAGCTTGCTCTACTCCTGGCTCTCCCAATGGATGGCTGCAGGTCACATCCCCAGGGAATGGCGGACAGGATGGGTAGTTCTACTTCCCAAGCCCAACAAGAAGGTCACTGAACCTAAAGCTTTGAGGCCCATTGCCTTACAAACACCTCTTTCGAAGACCATCATGTCAATGTTTGTTCACGAACCCAAAAAACATGTTCTTCGTGCTCTTACATGGTATCCACAATTTGCTTATTTGCCTGGGAGAGGCACTTGGGAAGCCATCTCACGTGTCCAAGCTCACGCCAGGGCAGTTCAAGCACTTCATCACAAATGGCGATATGAGGCTGGCAAAGTACAGGCACCTGGGGAGACAAAACCCCAGGTCTTTGGTGGATGTCAACTTTTTCTTGACATGACGGGCGCATTTGATGCAATGCCCAGGGAACACCTGCAAGAGGCCTTTAAACTACTTGGTCTTCCCCAAGATCTCTCCGCTCTGCTGTTGTGTTGGCATACAGAAACCTCCTACATTGTTCAATGGAAAGGACTCTCTGCCGTCCAACCCACTCACAGAGGTGTGAGACAAGGCTGCAGGGGTGCACCCTTCTTTTGGGCATGCTTTATAGCACTGGCACTTGAACGTGTGGCGGCGGAGACCTCTACCAATTGGATGAGGGAATGCTGCACCTTTTATGCCGATGACGGGCATGCCTGCTTTTTATTTCATGATTTTGATGAACTTCACTTTGGGTTGGTTTGTTTTGGGAAGCTGATCACCACTCTGGAACAACTGGGCATGACCGTGAATATGCACAAGTCAGCTGTTGTTGTACGCTGGGGTGGCACAAAACACCAACAAGCGCGGAAGCTGTATGTGAAAAGGAAGCTGGAACATCAAGCACTCCGTATTCCGAAAGATGATGGCACATTTCATGAAATTCCAATCAAAGAGAAGCACGAATATCTTGGTATTCAGATGGGATATTTTAATTTTCAGCGTGATACGATGAAGGCCAGACTTCAAGCAAGCAAACTTCGATTCAAACAAATGCATCGTTGGTTCTCCAAGAACTCCATGCACGCGGCACAGAAGGTGGCTCTATGGCAAACATGCATTCTTCCCATAGGGATCTATGGACTTGACGCAACGGGTACTGACAGCACCAGTATTCCCATATTCTCCAAGGCCATGACCACCATGATGAGACAAGCAGCAGGAGATCACTCATTTCAGACTCACAAGTCACATCATGCCTTTTTTCTTGAGCACCACCTGCAACACCCGGTTGCTGTGCTGCGGGGGCGGATGGCCTCTCAACTACACCGACACGAGGCAAGACTTGTTCAACTGCATGAGATGGATGTTCTTCACACTTTGGACTTGGACTCCCTTCGATGCTCAATCAATCTTGTTGACACATGGCTGCAGGAACTCAGCACATCAGAACCGGGCAATTCTCTATCTCTTGCAGAGGCCGGACTGGAATGTTACACCTGTGGGCTTACGTTTCGGCACTTCTATACACTCAAAAGACATGAAACTTTTTCGCATGGGATTCTTCACACCAACGGTCCTCCTCTGGATATTGGTAGAGACTCGATTGATGGCAGACCAACCTGCAGACATTGTGGAGAACATTTCATTAGCTGGCAGAACTTCCGACATCACATCTCCTCGTTCGCATGTAACAACTTCGATCCAACCAAGGCACCTCCGGAACAACTACATGCCTTCCGGACTCGGCTGCTGGACTACTATGATGGTGGAGACCTTGAACCACTGGTTAGAGATCGTCCACTCTGCTACTTTCTTTCCCAGAGGTGCATACTTTGTGGATTTTGGTCATCGAGACTTCAGCAAATGTCTGCACACATGGGGAGAGATCATGGGGACATCTATGCTCTCATGGGGGACGTTCTCCCCAATGTGGTGAGGGCTCGAGCCACCTCTCCTTGCGAACTATGTGAACAAGCCTTTCGGAGCCGGACCCACACATGTCCAGTGAAGAAGCAGCTGGGCCTTGCCTTGGCCTACCGGAAACACCGGGAGCAATTCCCGGCTAGTCTTCCTCCTGTTCCACAACCTCCACAGCGGATGGAAGCCCAATTCTCCTGTGGACTTTGCCCTCGGAAGTTTGTGACCGCCGCAGGCCTTCATCAGCATCAGGTCATGGATCATACTCACTCCACGACGACCAGGACCTTTGTCGCGGGCCGAGATCAGGTACCTGGGCAGACCCAATGTGCACACTGTCAATCCAAGTTCCTGAGTCTGGCTGCTCTCCGGCACCACATTGATGGTGGTCACTGCTCCACTCCACCAGATGAAGACCCGCCCCTCCTGTGGCATCATCCGTTGATCATCTCTGGACTTCATGGCGGGACCTTTGACCATCTCATGGCCTACAAGTCCCTGATTCGACGACTTGGGTACATCTGCGGGCTTTGTGGACATCAGTCTGGGAGCTCAGTTTCCTTACTGAAACACCTGGGGAACCATCACAATGAGCACTGGCCTCAAGCCACCTCCTATGCTGAATGGCTTCAAACGGATGGTGCCTTGCGGAACCTGGGCTGCTCCTGCCTCCGGCCGCCGAAAACACCACATGTTTGCACAGTCTTTACCCAGCTGGCTCTCTTTGTTCACCATGATCTGACCAGACTTCATGGAGGCAGTGATGATGTGATCATGTCCTTTGCTCTTCGGCTTGATCTACAAGTACTGAGCCCTACCATATCGCTCTCCTTCCCAGACCTGGACAGCAAGCTTGCCACTGGCCTCTTTGCAGAGCTCATTGAGGATGACACGCTTTGCACAGCCCTTAGCACCTGGTGTTGTCTGTGCGGGAGGCAAATTGATCCACGTGACATGCTCCAACACCTGTGGAATCAACATGCCAAACACGCCAACCGGGGCAGTCTGTTTTACAAGTACCTCACCATGTTTCAAGTGAAGCAAACAATCTGCTCAATTTGCAAGTGTCATCCCACCGCAGCTCAGTGCCCGATTCTCCTGCAACTGGCCTCACTGCTTGCCATCCTTCATCATGGACATGGAGACGGGGGAAGTCTCCGAGATGTGGGGAGCACTGAACCAATGGGTCAAGATGGAGGTCGACGAGGAGAAGAGTGCCAAGAGGCCCCGATCCATCACGTCGAATGGAGGGAAGGGGCAGGGAAAAGGAAAAGGAAGAAAAGGCCAGGTGAAGAACCAGAACACCACTGGAGAGTCCACACCCAACACAAACAACCTGCTGCAGGTGCTGAGCAGGCTAGTGCTAAGGCACGAAGACACCCTCCAGTGTCTGGCCACGGAGACGGACTTCTTCGTTTTTTTGAGCGCGGGCCCAGGGTCCATCCTACCTTGCATGATGACTCAGACCACAACCTGGCACCAGACACCACAAAGCGAGAGGACACATCCATTGAGGATCCTGGTTCTGAAGGCACTGCTGGAAGAATTGGTGAAGAGGGCACAGAAACTTCAATCCACGGCTTGCTCAGATCCCTTGATCCAAACATTACAACGCCTGGGATTCCTGAAGATCGACCCGGAGAATGGGAACCAATTCTCTTTCCCAAGGATGAAGTGGGATCATCAGAAGCAGGTGATGGAAGCCCAAGAGGATGCTCCACTCACAGTCCAGCAGGCTCTGCACACCCTATCTCGGATGCTCACTCTCTTGCAACAGGAGGACCTGATCAAGCGCTTTGGGGCCCTGCGTCCGGCTCAACAGATTCAGAAAGTCATGACCACGGACACCGACAAGCCCTCCACCGTGATTCCATGGCGGGTCACCTTGGCCTTGACCAACCCCCACTCCACCGAGATGAGGGGGCTTTGGCATCAGCTAAGCCACTCTGGGCTTTGGCAACTGATCTTGGGCCGGATGCGACCTGCGACTCAGCACAGGACACCTCTAGCACAACACCTGGGCAAACTGCTTGGGGACCTCTGATCCAGCCTGATCAGGCACCACTGAGACCACTGACGAATCCGGCATCAGCTTGCTACATGAACTCGGTGGTCACGGGATTGGTGTGGAGTGCTCAATGGGCAGGAGGCTTGAGTGAGGACCACTGGTCCAACTTTCCGAGGGTCTTTGAAACCATTGCAGATGTGTCACCAGAGGGAGCACCACTTCTATTGTGGGCAGATGGGCAATGGACCACCTTACTTTCCACGTGGCCGGAACCTTTTAGACAACATGATGTCATTGATTTTGCTCATCACCTTCTTCAACAGCTGAACCCCAACTTTCTCAGTTGTTGTTGGGAATCCCGGCTGGAACAGGATGGGGAAATCCGAGTGGTGGATCAAAGTGCCCTGGGGTGCCCTTTGCACCTATACATCTGCAGTGAGCAAAAGAATGCATTGCTGCCGACCGACCTGCAAGGTTTGATTTCAAACTGGAGCCTGGCATCTTTCGGTCTCCATGGGTTGACGGAACCTGCAGATGTCACATGCCTCCACATCGATCGCTTCGACTCGAGGGGCAAGAAGAATCGAACCAGACTCAGCTGGGACTCCAAGGTGTGGATGCCTTTCTTCTACAACAACAAGCTTGGCATCGACCACATTCCCTTTGTGGTCACGGCAGTATCCTATCATTTGGGCTCGGAGCCCACCTGTGGACACTATTGCACGGCGGTCCTGGCGGGTGGCTTCTGGTGGGTCTTCGACGACGGCTCCAAGCCGGAGAAGTTCGATCGGATCCCAACTGTGATTCAGGAGAACTGCTGTCTTCTTTGGCTCAACTGCACGCCGCATGGAGGTGCAGAACCAGTCTCAAAATTGACGGAGGAATCTCCCATTCTCTCTGAGGAGGAGAAGCTTGCGCACATCATCCATGACCCCTCCATCAATGACGACTGGCATCACAAATGGCTCCAAGCCATTGACAGGCTTGATGCTGACATCCTGGTTGACCATCCGGGACTATGTCATCGGCTGGTGAAGAAGTGCATCATTTGCCAAAGTTGGCCTCGTGACATGAATGCACACCTGGAAGTTGCACATCGAGAACTGTGGGAGGCCTCCCTGCCGGTGGCTGAAAAATGTGGTGCTGCCTTCAATGCCAAAGCACACCCAACCAGGTGGTGTGCCTGCCAGCCATACTACACCACTGAGCTGTCTGAGGACCACCCGTGTCCATGCCTACGCCAATTTGGCATTTTGCACTTGGCATTGCGAAAAGGCCAGCCAAGTTCTGCCAGATCGAATCTGGCACGCTTGCTTGATTTGACCTTCAGCTAACTGCTGAGGCTGGCTCGTCCCTTCGGGGACCAGGCGGATCAATGGATCCACGCCATCATCACTCGATGAGCGTAGAGAGAGAGATGATGATGATGATGATGATGATGATGATGATGATGATGATGATGTAGGACGGTGTGAAGACTTTTATGGAAACCGTTTGCCAGGCAAATCCAGGTCAACCTTGCAGCCACTGATTTGTTCCACCTCCCAGAAAGCAAAAGCCAGAGTTTGCTGCTGGAGGCTCCAGCAGTCACAGGCCCCTCATGGGCCCCCTGCCCGACGCCCCAAGATCACTCGCCAGCACCAACCCGGAACCCTCCAGCACCTCCAGAGCTTCCAATAGAGAGGTTGAACAGCCCCATAGCCCATCCCATATGTACCACTACAGGGTCCTATAAGGTGTCTCAACCTCTCTTGGTTTCCAGGCTTATGCTCCAAGCTCCAGCAGTTCCCTTCACTTCGCCTTCACCAATGGCGCTCCTCGGCTCACGCCTCCGCGGGTTCCGCGGGGGGCGGGGACGTCGCGGAGGGATGCGGCGGAGGTTTATGCGGAGGTCTGCGGGGTGGGCAGAGGGCTTATCAGATTTGATTGTAATCCCCTGCTTGTGATCGCACGATCTTTTTCGTGCTGTAGGTGGGACCCATGTGCATATTTCTTACACTTTGGGTGCAAGAGGACACATCTTCAAGCCTGAGGTGGACTGGGACAACAACCAAGAGAAGAACTACGAGCTCCCAGTTGGCCGATGACCTTCCGTTTGAAGAAGCGCGCTTTCCGGGGCGTGGACCGTTAGGGAGGTCAACACGCAGAGGTTGGTGCGACCGGACCGGCACCCATAAGGGGTGTCTATCGATAGCCCCTCAAAGGTTACCACTGAACTTGGGGGTCCGGATATGGGATGATATGGGTGACCAGGTCATTTTAGTTCTCTCTGATGATATACAGTGGGTTCAGAGTAGATGGCACTGGCACCCGAAGATGTCTTTTATGAGGGGGGTCCTTACAAACCACCTTTTGCATCCTTTTGCCAATTGTGCCATCTACTCTGAAGTCACTGTATTATATAAATGTGAGGGGGACGACTTGTAGAACTATGCAATTACTAATTACGTATAGTATAGACTTCATGCACTGCTATGGGTATAAACGATGGTATGTGGTACACCAAACTCACCATGGGTGTTCAATGGTCAAATCGGTCTCACGTTTGCATTTTTTAAACATGGAATTCAACCGACCCAGAAGCCATTCTCATTCATTGGCTGGGTGTTCACGGCAACAAGTTTTGACTCGCCCACTGACTCCCCACTGCCACTGGACGCCCCAGTACCACGCCTCCAGGCTAGTCCGAGGGGAGCTCTTGATGTGAGCATCGCTTGCCGTGCAAAAGCAGCGAATGCCGCGCGCCTCTCACTCCGTGACATCGCGGTTTTTGGTCGCGCATCGCTTGGAACTGCCACTTGAGACCACGCGTTTCGCTTGGGAGAAGGACACGTGCAGCCGATGTTCACCGAGCGGACATCGGACCCCTCGACTATGTCCGGGCGGCCGGGACCTTGCTTGACCGATCTGGACCTGTCTGGACCGGGCTCCAGGTGAAGATTGACCCATTCAAGTTACCTCACTAGCATGGAAGTGGATGGCATGGTCCCTTGGAAGACTACTTTCCTTTATGAATGGAGGGTTTTTCACTTCCATGTTAGTGAGTCGGAGTGTACTATGGTCCCCCTTCCTTTCTTCCCATTCCGAGTTTCGTGACTGCTTGTCAGTTTGATGGGAGACGCGTTTGGGTAGCCCTCATGTTACGGAGGGTCTCGACCGCTTGGGGTTGTCATACCAGAGAAGCTGTGGAGATCTGTGGAGGATGCAGAGCATGAGTGAGCATGATGGAATCATGATGAACTTGTTTGTGTGTCCTTTTTT